TTATAACCAATTACAGCTGTTTCCTTTTCAAACTAATGTCCTTATTAATAGGAAATTTTTTGAAATATATTCAAGTCCTTTTCTCTTTTGCATTTTTTTTGTTCCTGTTTCCCTCTATTCAGCCAGATGTATCCATATTATCTAAAAGATAACGAGGATTTTCACAACAGGAGTGCAAAGAGAAAGAAATAGTTAATATTTTGCTTCTGGCATCCAAAATAAGGTTTTCCAGCAAGATTTTTTTTTTTTTTTTTTTAAAGACATGATCTTGCTCCATCACCTCAGGCTGGAGTGCAGTGTCATGATCATAGCTCACTGCAGCCTTGAGCTCCCAGGCTCAAGCAATTTTCCCACCTCAGCTTCCCGAGTACCTGGGACTACAGGTGCTGCAAGCTGCCACATCTAGCTAAATTAAAAAAAATTTTTTTTTGTAGAGACAGGATCTCACTGTGTTTCCCAGGCTGGTCTCGAACCCCTAGGCTCAAGTGACTCCCTGCCTCTACTTCCCACAATGCTGGGATTACAGGCGTGAGCCACCAGGCCCAGCCAAAAATTTCTTGTACAGATGGGATCTCACGATGTTGCTCAAGCTGGTCTTGAACTCCCAGGCTCAAGAGATCCTTCTGCTTTGGCCTCCCGAAATGCTGGGATTACGGGTGCGAGCCACACTGCCCAGCCAAGACAATATTTTTGACAACCAGGTTTTGTAGAGAGAGAGGATTTTCTAAATTTCTTCGTTTCCCTTTGAATTGTTGTCATTGAATTCTACATCAGATATATCCCAGCCAAACAGGAGGGAAAAAAAAAAAAGAAGATACAGTATACCTTTTCTGATCCTGGACTAGGGGGACTATGGGAAGAAGTAAAGTCACGGAAGAGAAACGAGGTATTCACACATAATGGTTCAGTTGTTCCTCTCTGAGCCCAAGTCACGGATAAGAAGATGGACTCTGAAACTAGATTTCCTGGGTTTAAACCTTGGTTCAACTTTGGGCAACTACGTAACCTCTTTGTGCCTCTGTTTCCTCACCTGTGCTTTCCGTCACCTGCTAGAACGGGGCGGATGGTAACCTTACCAACCTCCAGACACTGTTATGAAAGGACTCCATAAGGTGCGGCCGTAACGCATTAGAAGCTCAGAATAGCAGGCCCGTCTCACGCCCTGTAAGTCAGCACTTTGGAGTAGCCCTGGATGCACCGTGTCAAGTTGAGATCGAGCCCGTGCAGCGTTGTGCGCCCGCCGTGTCGTGTTATAAAAATATAAATGTACCCGAGAGGTAGTGGACACGCCTGTAATCTCAAGCCCTACTCAGGGACGCTGAGTTTTTTGTGTGTTTTTGAGCAGAAAGATCACGTTGAACCCAGGAGTGAGGCTGCAGGAGCCAAAGATTGGCGACCACTGCACACCAGCCTTGCCGTCAACAGAGCAAGACTCCTTCTCAAAAAAAAAAAGTGTAGAATATGCTTTACCATTGGTGTATTATTATGAAGGGGTGAGTGATAGATGTTACTGGAGACGTGTTCTAAGGAGTGCTGGAAGAGGTGTTCTGCGCATTCGTCATTTGGCAATGTGGGAAGGCGTCACCCACAGTGCTTGGCCCGTGCAACTGGCAGCAAGTCCACATTCAGCAAACTCGGGCTGAAGTCCTGAGCTTGCCTGTTCTCAGCGCTCGGCAGAACCTGCTCCCGTCTTTCCCATGTGTCCACAAGGCTCAGGAGCACTGTCGAAGCATCGTCGCAGGAAAATTTCTGAAAAGGGCTTATCCTAGAATTGGCCCCACTGACGAATGGTAGTGGGCACAACAAGTCAAAGCCAGTTCAAGACGGTCCACATTGCACGAGCCAGGTAGCGGCAGCAGCAGGGAGAGCACTGGATCTCAAAGCAGAGAAGAGAATCGCCCATGATCGTGAACTCGTAGGCGCGCCCCCCCCCATATCAGACATCAGCCCCCCACCAGCAGAGTACCCTGAGAACGCTGTGTCTCACCATCGCAACTGGGGCCCAATGGGCCCAGCGCTCCGACAGAAACAGCAGGAGATGTGGAGGCCACAGATAGATCCAACAACCGTCCACACCCTACTGCGTCCCAGTGCCAACTTTAGTGCACTTCTGCAAATCGAAAAGAACTGAGCATTGTGTGCGTAAAGTGCGACTGTGTTTACGTTTAAATGAAATAAATCCAACTGATGCTTCATTAGATTAGACTAAAATATGGCCCCATCCATGTGCCGACCCTTCCTCGCCACCAGCGTCCCTAGAGGCGATGGGATCGGTATACAGGCAATTTCATAGAACTGAAGAAATCACTTTTTTTTTTTTTTTTCTAACATTTGAGAGTGTGTGGCTGGCAGAGTAAACGTGTGACCTGTGCCCCTGTTCTTCCTCCCGCCCTTCACCGTCTTAAGCACCCGATTGTCGGCATTACAGGTTAACACCCTGCCGTGCACGTCTGCGACATCCCCTACACCCACACGTTGCGCACAAGCCTTTTGTGTTCTAACCTTGCCTTCGCAGGAAACCAGGACAGAAGGAGCTTTTCCCGGTTTAAGGCTAACAGGAGAGCAAAAAAACGAACTTTTCTAACAAGACCTCGGCGGCCCCTGGTAATCTTATTTTAAAAGGCAGGCGACAATTACCTGCGGCATTGCATAACGGCTCTTCGAAGGTACAACTTTTCCCTGCCTCCCTCTATGGCCCCTACTCAAAGGGCAGCGAGTTGAAGAATCAGAGACAATTGCTCAATAAAACATATATGTTACTCACGTTTTGTAGGAATAGCGGGGGCCTATGCTTTGGAGCACTTAGTAGGTAAACTACAATTTTTTGAAAAAACTTTCAAGGGATATAGGGACGAAAGCAAAGACACGGAAATCGCCGATGCCTCTGGATTGAGGACTGTGCCTGGGGCGGGTTACCGCCCACCCGTGGGACTGGGGACCCACTCAGCCGGTGAGTCAGGTAGTGTTGTCCTTCGCAGGGCTGTTTTCTCATTTCCTTGATAAATACGCAGGGTTTCTTGCGCCAGTCGTTAAAGCTCCTAGCTCAAGCAGGCTGTGTGACTTCAGAGGGGCTCCGCTGGGACCCGGAAGTCAGCTGGAGCCACTGCGTGAAAATGACGCTGTACTCACCAAACAGAGGCCAGCTCTCAGATGTGCCAGGTGCCACCTCCTGCCAGCACACAACATGTGGCACACAGCACTCACACGCGTGTGGCCTCTGTACAGCCGCGTCCCGCCAGGGGCTACAGCCAAGACGGGCATCCCCCATCAGAGATGAATGGCAGGTCTGGTCTGGCCGCTGTGGTGCTCTCTCCTATCGCGAAAGAGCCGCAGAGGAGCTCAGCCACGGCAGAGCCTGGAGGGAGCCACCGCAGTCTGTTCCGGCACCCGGTGCGTGGTGAAGGCCTTGAGTGACAGCGAGGATGGAATCAGACAAGGGAAGTGCATCAACCCTCAAGTACGTTTCGTCTGGAGTGGAGCTGAGGGAAGCCGGAGAGTAGAGGGAGGCGGAAGTAACAGAGGTGGATACTTTAGTCCACGTTGAGGAGTCTCCCTCCCGGTTCTTCTTTCTCACTCACCCCCGTCTCCAAATGCTCCCTAGCGCTCTTGTCTCGTTATTTTCTCTTTCTTCTCCCATTTCCCTGTCTGTTCTTCACTTGTTTTGAAATATCTGAAAACAGATTGGTTAAATCCCTTTTGGCCCTCTGTTCCTCTTGTCAGTTCAAGGAGCTAATTAGGATGTCCGTATTACCAGAAAACGATTTCACATTCTGAGCAGTGCTTTCCCCAAGCCCGCAGGACAGCAGAGACTTCTCTCCGAGGCTGCGCCGGGCGGGTTTTTTGGACAGGGAAGATACGAAGTTTTGAGCCTAGGAAGAGAGGCAGCGGCCCAACTTTGCATTTTACGGTTGGAGCAAAATCTCTCGAGCCGTTGTGCACTAGAGCTTACTGATGTGGACAGAAGGTCTGCATTGGACAGTGGCACAAAGATACGGAGTGTCTAATGCCTAAAAGCAGGATGTGTGCCCCTCTCTGGCCTGGAATGGCTTGAAGGCATCTAGACTTCCTCAGTCCACCACTGAGGGCTTAAAGCGCGTGGATGTACGGTGAGAGAGAAGCGTCAGACTCTCGCGCCTGCCTGCAACCTCCGACTCCCTGCTCAATGCTGTAGAATAGATTCAACGCGTAAGTGAGCCTCTGCGGAACGACTGTGTTTAACGTAGGGAATCAATACAAGTGTGAAAGCACGGTGTTATGACCAGAGATTCTGAATCCCTGAACTAGTCTTGAATCAGAAATCCTTAGCGGCCACCCAATAT